TTTAATTTTTTCATGTTATTACTGCTGCTCCATAAAACTTAAAAGGCAGTCGGAACATTCAGGGCTTCGCCCTGATACGAGCAGTCCTGTTGTTTCTGTTTTTGCAACATTTTGATTTATTTTTTATTGTGTTTTCAGACTTTGTAATATATCAGCCATTTGCTTCTTATATCCCCTTTCGACATGATTTGCTCCACTGAGTTTGCTCTTACTACTGAAGCTACAAAAAACTGAAAGCTTCGCTTTTCCTCATTTTATCAACAAGACCTCAATGCGCGGCCATTTTGTTGACTTGCACTATGTTGTTCTAAAAACTGCTTTCCGTTCAGTCTTTTTCTTTTCATATATCTTTTTTTTACCGTAAATATGTAAGAGCGTACTGTTTTTGTAGGAATTGAAAGCTATTTTACTAAAATTTGATGATGGTTTAATTGAATCAAGAAAGGTTTCAAAGGACTTCGTCCACTGCTAGACAATGTTGCTCGTCGTGCCTTTCACGAGCTGAACGGCTTTCCATGTTTTTAGTCAGCCTGGTTCTCAATTCAAGGAGAATAATAGAGCTATGGAGCTATGTATCTGGTTTGAAGGCGTGCATGTTGACCATTGTAATTGGCTGATCGTTTTCAAGCCTCTGCTTGATTAGCAGCTTGATCATCGCTTTTACCTCTCATATAAGCACAATCATGCCTGATCAACTCGAAATTTGAAAATTCTAGTGCCATTGGTAGGTAACAACACAATTCAGTTTTTTTCTCGAAGTTACTTAGTTGCGTTATATATTCGAGCAGCTCTCTGTCAAGCTAAACCTGGTCGTCGAAACTTGGCGCGAGTCAATTTTCATGCCACTGATGATTGTGATATTAGCATTAGTTGTAAAAATCAAAATTTTCACGCATGAGAAAACTAATTTGGAATAATCTTTATCAACTATCAAATTTGTTTTGTTAAGCTAATTTTATTCGAGTTTTCGAATTTCTAAATCTCATCAATTCCAACACATTTTGTTTTTTGAAGCCAATCTTTTTTCTGAAGTAAGCAAATACCAACTGAATCATTAGTATTATGGCAACACAATAAAAAAGACAATTGGAGGAAACTAAAAAAAGTTAAAAACTAACTAGAAACGCAGTTTTGAAAAGAAGGTTATTGCTCTGAAAACTCTAAATGTTTGACGAAGTTCTGCTCATGTATTGTTTTCAAGTTTTTTCAGACGTAATTCGGTTTAATGGGTGATGTTCGACAAACAAACAAAGTACTTAAGCAAACTGCTCGGATCAGTGCGAGAACCTGAATGATCCAACTGTTCTTTAACTTCAATCAAGTTGTTTTTGATGACTTTTTTACTCTAGTTTTAAAAAACGATGATACTGTGATGATTTTCTGCAATGATTTATAAAAAGTATGATTCCTAATTTTTGGAATTTTTTTTTCCGATTTTAGAAAAAAATTTTCTTGTAAGTGTAAATTACAAAATATTTTCCCAAATTTCTATTTCCAACACCTGTAACTTTTTTTAAAGTTTATCATAAATGACATGTTTCTCTAAGCTTGATATTAAAGCGTCGTTAATTATCAGATGGTATCCACTCGAAAAAAAAATCCAGGTAAGTTACGCGCAGAGGCTTCAGGTAAAGGATAGTTTAATTAAATATCACCTCAAGTCTACCTCAAAAGTATTTCAGCAATATGTTTAGCTTTAAAGTTGAGGTAACAAACAGTTTCAGGGAAATTTCAAAAATTAGCTGGAAACTATGTGAAATCCTAGTAGTAATAGTTATAATAATAATAATAATAATCATAATAATAATAATAATAATCATAATAATAAAAAAAATCATAATCATAATAATAATAATAATCATAATATTAACTGTTTTCAGGCAGAAAATACACAAATTCACAAACTGACACTTTAGTTAGATTAAAACGGCCTAGGAGATCACCATTAGATCTACAGATCCGTTTTCAGGTGTCTCTGACAATTATAAAAACTGTTTGAAAGCAATTATGAGTATTACGAGCACATTTTAAAACCAATTTCCAAAAGCAACAAGACGGATGCTTTGAAAGTTCCGACTCCCTTTATAGGCATATGGAGCATTGTTTGTGCACAAAAAGTGGATAAAAAAGTTTCTTTTGAAGCAATTATGAGTATTATGAGTAAATTTTTGAAACCAGTTTCCAAAAGCAACAAGACTGTTCAAATCAAGGCGAAGCCTTGAGCTTCCGACCGCCTGTATAGGCCTATGTTTTTTGCAGAAAAAGTTGATGAATAAAAAATTTTGAGATTATTTTATCATCCCCCACACGCCACATAAAATATAAAGTGATATTTTTTGCCCCTATTTAAATATCAATTATGGCAAATAGCCTACTTCAACCAATTTGGAATGATTTCTACGGCGGATTTAATATCTGCTTACGCGTTATAAGCGCGAAATAAATCACGCGTTAATTGTCCTATAATCAGCAAATTGGCAATTTTTGTACACCGGTTGGTATGAAAAAAATTACTCCAAAAATGGGTAGTTAGAAATTCGTTTTTTTTTGGAGAAAAAAAACCCGCCCGAGTACAAAACAACGTCAATTTTTTCGAAAGTCGGAATAACAACAAAAATGCGCAACTATGAAATTTTGTTAATTTGAGTTGACCATTTTTTTATGATTCAACCAGTTGTTTGGGCCGCTATGCCCTTAAAATTCATCGCAAAGATATATCTTAATACGCGAAAATTAACCCGGGTTGACCATCCTACAAAAAATGCTTTTCGCATAGAAATTTTTATAAAATTTGTAGGTATCTTACAACTTTCTTATAAAAATCCAAATTAATTCAATTTACAAAAGCCAAAATCACTTTAATTGTTTTGTATGCCGTAATAACATTTCTTTTTTTTTCAGATTTATGCATGTAAAATATTTTAGATTGTTGTTACAATGTGTGCATTTGGAACAAAAAACTCAAGAACAAAAACTTGTGTTTTTTTTCAACAAATCTCCTAATTATAAAGTAACTGTTTGAAATTTTTAGGAGACCAAATACATTCAATTTTGACCAATCATGCCATATAGTTTAGGACGTGTTGTATGCGGCGTATAGGTATGAATCAACAACTTCTCTTGAAATCAGCAAAAACTTATTCTGTAGCACTGTTGTTTTTCGGTAAATTTCTGTAGCAATATTAGTCTTTTTGCCCACAGGTTTCCTTCACTTTTCTGTACGAAAGAATGCAGAACTTTTAACTGATTATAAGAAAAATTTAAAAACTAAAAAAGAAAAAAATTTGAAAATTTTTTGTAGAAACAGTTCTATCTCACAACTTTCTTGCAAGAAAAGCCGCTATCTTACAATTTTTCTTAGAAGAGAATGTCTCTATCTTTTAACATTTTTAGAACGTAATTTTGTGAGCAGTTGAAAGACTCTTTTAAGAAAAGTTCTAAAACAGCTGTTATTGGCCAACCCGGCAATCTATTTGAAACTGTTTTCATTTTGCGGCAATCAATTTGGACGAGGAAAAGACTATACCGAGCACAAAATTCCGTCAGTTTTTTTATCCGGAGCAAAGAAATGTAACAATTACCTGTTACGACTTTTACGCAGGTTTTTACTGTACCTTGCCCGGGTTGAAAAAAAAAATGGTTATCATACATTTTTCATTTACGAAAAAAATGCTTATTATATTCTTTCATACAAATTCATAGAGCAAAAGTATATGTATGAAAAAAGTAAAATAAGCATTTTTTCCATATATGAAATTGTATGATAAGCATTTTTTCCATAGTATGAAATTGTATGATAAGCATTTTTTCCATAAATGAAAATTCAAAAAATTTTTGTTTCGAAATTTCGTGTTTCAACCGAAACACTAACCAAGGATTTTTTGTCATGAGAAAACCCAGAGTGTAACTGGCATCTTCCACGCAGATAAACTGCATTTGGTGGTTTCAGCCATAAAAGTTAACTTTCACATTTTCACATGAAAATTTATGCCAAAAAAGTAACTTTTTGAATATGGCTAGATAATTTTTAGCTTGAAAATTATAATGGTTGAGAAAAAAAGGCCTGTTTTTTTTACAAATTTATTTTTTTAGCAAATGAAACAAAAGATAATAATCGTGTTTAAAAAAAAACACTTTCATGTGAATTTTGGGTTTTTTGGGTGAGAAACTTATCCTGGACTACGTACACAAAAATGTCAAATTTTGCATGCAATTTTTTTTTGTAAAATTTATATTTTGGCACAAACTTGCAGCCAAAAAAAGGATTAAAAACTTTTTTCCTCAAATTTTTATTTTTGTTTATGAAAAAAATGCATATCATACAATTTTCATATATGAAAACTTTATGATAAGCATTTTTCTGACCGAAATTAAAATTATGTTTTTGGTTGTCATTATGCCCTTCATCATAGATATACTTATTTAAATCTGTTCATAGTTACCCAGACACGTTTTTTGGTGATTTTTGAATTTTTTTTTCTCTATGACAAAATGAAAATTTTATAATTTTCATACATGAAAATTGTTTGACAAGCATTTTTTATAAAAAACTTTAAATCATTTTTTAATGACCAGAAAGCTTCAAAAGAGGCATTTAGACCAAAAATGTTCATTAAAAACTTTTAAAATACTTTTTAAATTTTGTATGAATTTTCTATGATAAGCATTTTTTTCCATAAACTTCATATATGAAACTGTATGATAAGCATTTTTCCTCTATGGACGTCAACCCGGGTTGTTGATTTTTTCTGCTCTCTTTTTCGAGCGAAGTGGAATTTGCGAATAAACAAATGAAATACAGAAATACTTTCAAATTAAACTGAGGCGCGCTAATGGGTCCCATTAAGAAATCAGTAGCTGCGAAATATATGTTAAGCATCGACAATCTTGATAACTTGCTCGTTGTTGTTTTGGGGGAAAATAATTTTCACTATTTTTGTTCGCTCTTTGAAGCTTTTCAATTGTTTTATCAAAATGATTATTATCCCGAAGTTTCCTCCCTTGTAAGCAAGATAAATGTGAGCTGCCTGTAGCTTTCCTGGTACGGGTTGAGATTGTATTACATGATACTATTTTTACTGCACAAAGAGTAATTCCCGGAAATCCTATTATCATGAATGGCAGAAAATACACAATCTTCTAAAAATTGAACAATGGTTCAAACTTTTGTTAAAATTGAGCAAACAAACAAACAGCATGCTAAATCGTAATCAACCAATGGCTTAAGTTTTCAGCCAAGTTGTCAATTACAAAGTTTTAGCTAATTTTTATCAGGTGACAACATGTTTCCAGAAGAACAAAACATGGATCACTGCAATGAACACCAACATGAATATCCCAAAACCCATATCACATGATGCAGATATTTTGCGGCGTGCATTTGACTGATCGCTTTCTTCGCTGTCGCTCCCTTTCAAGACTGAACATCTCGAATTGCTCAAGCCGGTCTCTGATCTCTCCAAGACCGCTTCATTTTCATATGCTCCATCTCCAGTCTCGTTTAGGTTCTTTGTGTTATTTTCAAAGTTAGCTGATTTGACATTTTCTCCTGGGTCTTTACTTATAATGATGAAGAACCCTAAAAATATTCGTAATCTACTTCGGTCACAACTTTTTATGAACTGAGGGTGTAATCTAAACCAGCTAATTTATTTCACTCATGACAAAGTAGCACTAACTTTCTTTTAACGCAGGTAAGGGCGTTTTTCTTAGTCAATGTAATATTAATTGGTCAAACTTTACTTGTAGATGCCTTTCAGTGTTCTTTAAAGACCAAAGTATGGGTCTTTAGCATTTGACGTTTTGTTGGTCGCGATGCTAAAAAATTGGTCAAATTTCTATCATCTTAAAGTTTTTGCTTAGAGGATGATTTATGACAATAAAAAACGAATGCGATAAAATTCCCATCAATCCCCTATCCCCAAGTTGTGTTCAACCCTTAAAAGTAGAGGAACGCGATTAAATTCTCTTCAGTTACCACCCTCCATATAAATTGATTTTTCCCGCTAACAATGATGGTAGAAGACGTTTGGGCAGCAGATAAATAAATTTCAGGGCCTGCCCGGGTTGAACTCACATTAAAAATTAGCAATAAAAAGTGAAAAAAAATCAGCGATCGCCATCCATGAATTATCGGTGTTCATTGCCACAAAAGCAAACTTCATCGATAGATTATCGCTAATTTGGCTAATTTTCAGCGATGAAACAGCGATAAAACACCTATCAAAAAGAGCAAAAATAGTGATCTAACAGTGGTTCGATCCCGCAACCATAGGCTTTGTAGACATATATACTATCTCTGCTGCATCAAGTCTTACACTATCTCAAATTCAAGGCTTTATCAACTAAGACTCTCTTTGAAAGCTACTAAAATGAGTTGAAATTTTAAAAGTTCTAGCGATGATTTTCTACGAAATCATTACTGAATTAGCTCTGAAACATCGCAGGCTTAGTTATGCAAAACTCTGATTTAAACATGGTTCAGCGCTAAAAAATAGCGAATATTGGGATGGTACAAAAAAGCTAAAATTAACGGTGGAACTTCATCCCGGGTGACAGGGAGGCTTCCTGATCTGCTGGATGCGCCATAATGAAATATACTGATAGTCTATTTAAACTAAGCTTAAATCAAATTAAGAAGTATAAAAATAGAGTCAATTAAAAAGTGTGTTAATTCTAGCTATAGCATTCAACAAATTTATTTGATAACGTATGAACTTTTCAAATAATTTTGACCATCAAACTTAAATTAAATCTGGAAAATTCTTTGAAGTTTCGCGTTTGTTTTTTGTCGGCATTTTGTTTGTGTTTTGGGGTCTTATGCCCTAAACAGCCCAAAATCATTATTTCTTCATCTTTCTTGAACTCAAATTAATAAGGTTGAATCTGATTCCTAACTTATGCACTCAAATTCAAATAACATGGTCCTGCACTTCGATTGTAGTTTCAAGCAAGTAAATTTGTTGGCCAGCATGACCAAAAATATTTTTAAAAAATTTGAGAAAAACTTATCATGGTCCCCTTAAAATAATTTTATTTTTTGATAAAATTTAATATTTTGGTATTTTCGGTTAATAATTTTATCTGCTGGAAGGTTTGAGTGATTTGACTGACCATGTTGGTTGATTTTGATAGGCTATTATTAGACAATCAGATTCGACTTCATCAATTTTAGCTCAAAATATATAACTTTTGATTTTGGGCCGTTTTGTACATAAAACCCGTGTTTTGCTGTTAAAACTTGCATTGCAAATCGTTGTTGAATGACAAAGTTTTTCTAATTGTGCTCTTAAAATTAGGCAGAAGTAAAATTCTCCCAAAAAGCGCAACCTTTTTGCCTTGTCTTTTTGACATTTCAAATGCAGTTTTGAAAAATGGATTTCAATTTTAATGCCATTTCACTGTCTCAAGGCATTAATTTTTTCAAAAAATTTCAAAAAACAAATATTTCAAAAAGTTTCCAATTAAGTTGTTAAAAACTATATCACCCAGAATGATCACCTAACACCGGGAAATGCAGTGATGAAGCTGGAAGTATACTGGACAAGATAAGTAGATTGACCACCTGAGCGAGCATGATTGTGATTCCCAGACTGATCTTCTCCCCACTTTCCACAGGAAGGAACACAGACAACACAGTCAGGACTATATCAATACAAAGGCAAGAACAAAGTTTTTCCGTTTTGAGATCATTAATTGATGTAAAATTGTTAGTTCATTTTTAGCAGTATTCATTTCCGGCAAATTTAGCCTAATGATCAAAATGCCTTTGAGCAAATAAACCGGCAAAGATATAAAAAGAAAATGAAACATTCAGTAGCTGTGCAATCAACAGAAAACTCCAACCATGTTTTTTTTTGTTATAAAAAATGAAAAACAGAACAAACTCTTTAAAATTTTTAAAAATTGATTTTTTTTCAATTGTTCTATCTGTTTTCAATTGTGTTAAGGAATTAAATTAGTTGGAAATAAAACATGTTACAAAATTAAAAAATAGAGTTAAATTATTTTAAAACGCACTATTCTAAAACCAACAAAAAATACATTGGGAATATCTGGAAAAGTAAAAAAAACTTATTTCTCCCAGACAAAATTCAGTGACTTGAAAGTAGACGCCCAACTTCTTCATTTTCTGTTAGCAAAAGAAAAGATTACTGAAATCGATTAGAAGTTAGACCATTTTGTGTTAGTCAAACGTTTTAGCTAACGAAAAGCATCGAAGTTATTATAACTTTTAAATCAATTTTTGTTGCAGAAAATTACTCGCAAAACCATAAATTGATTTTGGGCCGTTTTGTACATAAAACCCCTGTTTTGCTGTTAAAACTTGCATTGCAAATCGTTGTTGAATGACAAAGTTTTTCTAATTGTGCTCTTAAAATTAGGCAGAAGTAAAATTCTCCCAAAAAGCGCAACCTTTTTGCCTTGTCTTTTTGACATTTCAAATGCAGTTTTGAAAAATGGATTTCAATTTTAATGCCATTTCACTGTCTCAAGGCATTAATTTTTTCAAAAAATTTCAAAAAACAAATATTTCAAAAAGTTTCCAATTAAGTTGTTAAAAACTATATCACCCAGTAGCACTGAACTCGCTCACTTCGATGGAGATCGCTAACATAATTCAAGGTCATAGAAGACCTGTTAAAATAAGTAACTCAATTAAAATAAATAGACAATCACGACAATATCGAATTTTATCGCTTTTTTCAAAACATGGAGTATAATCGTTTACCATGTATTACAATGGATTTTTTTATTTTTCAAAAGTAATCGATTATAATGGGTTGCCTTGACAAAAATATTATATTATAGAAGTAATGATATATTTCAAAAGTAATACTTGTTAATCGATTATAATGGATTACCTTTTTTCGAAAAGAATCGATTATAAAGTCAATTTAATTTGATTAAGTGGTCTGAATTTTACATCTGTTATCGATTATAAGGATTATTTTTGTCTCGGAATTCCTTAATATTCAATTAGAAGCCATACGCGGAAATAAGCATGACCGAAAAAATTGGAGAACTTAAGAAACCAGACTTAATATTTACAGGATGGAGAAGCTTACGGTCGAACAGCTTTCGGAGGATGCTTATGTGATCGTTGTAAAAGTAGTTTGTGATTGCACAGTTGTATACAAGAGACAGTCCAATCAGGCCAATTGTCACCAGGAAATAACGCCCTGAAACAATCACTTAAAAATGGCTTTCGATTTTGTTCTCTGTTACATCACACAAACACACAGCTTCAGCTGTCTATCTATTTCCTAATAAAAATTTAATTATTTCTTGGATCTTGTTTTGCCGAGTAATGACGAGTGGAAAAATTTCCTGGTACAACAATACATTTACTGACAATAAATACTCCAAGCTGGGTAAAGCATGAACTATGAAAAAAACATCAATTAAACATTGAAAAAAAAACTGAAACTGAATTATAGACAAAGTTAATGATCACCTAACACCGGGAAATGCAGTGATGAAGCTGGAAGTATACTGGACAAGATAAGTAGATTGACCACCTGAGCGAGCATGATTGTGATTCCCAGACTGATCTTCTCCCCACTTTCCACAGGAAGGAACACAGACAACACAGTCAGGACTATATCAATACAAAGGCAAGAACAAAGTTTTTCCGTTTTGAGATCATTAATTGATGTAAAATTGTTAGTTCATTTTTAGCAGTATTCATTTCCGGCAAATTTAGCCTAATGATCAAAATGCCTTTGAGCAAATAAACCGGCAAAGATATAAAAAGAAAATGAAACATTCAGTAGCTGTGCAATCAACAGAAAACTCCAACCATGTTTTTTTTTGTTATAAAAAATGAAAAACAGAACAAACTCTTTAAAATTTTTAAAAATTGATTTTTTTTCAATTGTTCTATCTGTTTTCAATTGTGTTAAGGAATTAAATTAGTTGGAAATAAAACATGTTACAAAATTAAAAAATAGAGTTAAATTATTTTAAAACGCACTATTCTAAAACCAACAAAAAATACATTGGGAATATCTGGAAAAGTAAAAAAAACTTATTTCTCCCAGACAAAATTCAGTGACTTGAAAGTAGACGCCCAACTTCTTCATTTTCTGTTAGCAAAAGAAAAGATTACTGAAATCGATTAGAAGTTAGACCATTTTGTGTTAGTCAAACGTTTTAGCTAACGAAAAGCATCGAAGTTATTATAACTTTTAAATCAATTTTTGTTGCAGAAAATTACTCGCAAAACCATAAATAGAAAAAAAAAATAGTTGTACAGATAGTTTTTCAAATGGACATTGTAATTTGAGGATTTTTTGAACACCAGAGAAAAAAAAACTCGTATCAGATTAGCCAGTGAAAATTTTGATGGCCGTCAAATAAGTGACGTGACGCGTCTTTGTTATGGCAAAAAACGATAAAAATGTTTCTGTAAAAAGTTCTCACATGCAATGAGAAATACAAAGTGGTAAATCTGTTTCATACAAAGCAAAAAAGCTCATCGAGTCACTGAGTCCGATTTAGAACAAGGATAGCCGGTTACTGTGCAAGTAGCACAGAACGTTCCGAACATAGTTTTAAAAATACAACCAAATTTTTTCGAATTATTGTCGTTATTTCGGCGTGGTGTGATAAAAAGATCGATGATTATTTGTGGTACCTGATTTTGCGTGGAAAACAAAAAGAAAATTACTAAAAAACACCCGAATACAAAGTTCCTCCCCATTTTCAATGGTCGGAACAGTAATTGCTGGACTAGAACAATTAGCATGCAATGATACACTTTCTAACTTTTTAAAAGAAGACGATTACTGGGGAAAGTCCTTTTTGTTCTGACTTCCGAAGAAATTGATAAAATATTTGCGTTCGATATGTTTCGGCTAATAAAGCGTAAACTGCGAAAGAACTTGTTCCAAACTGGATTAGGTCAAGCAATATGCGCTAATAAATTTTGATTATTTTTTTCTATTAATCTGATTAAAAAACTCGAAATATATCAATTTGTATACTTGATACACAGTGGGGGAGGTGGGGGTTAAAATTAAACAAAAAATGGTAAAGAATTCAAAACTTTGTCGATAGTTCTGCCAATTTTTGACAAAAAAAAACTTTTTCAATTATTTTGAATGACAGTTGCTTCAGGGATCAGGGATTCAGGGTTTCAGGGATCAGTCAGGGCTTCAGGTTTTTATCATATCTCCACACTGTGTGTCTCGATTTGTGTCATAAATTTTCTACTTGCAATATTTAGCTGTTGTTTATCTACTACATAGTGCTCTTATTTAAAAAACGCTGAATCAAAAACAGGGGCGGATTTAGGGGGGGGGGGGGGTTGTGGCGGACGCCCTCTCTTCAGGGATTCGACCCCCTGCCGACCCAAAGGGTCCCCCCTTTGATACTTTTTCAGAAATCCATTTTTGGCCGACCGACCCTAAAATTTTTCTAAAGGCGCCTTAGGTGCCAATATATACTAACTTTGAGGGGGAGCGCGCCAAAAAAAAACGCGATTTTTTTGTCAAATTTTTTCAAAAAGTGCCCAAAAACGGCTTTTTTTGACTGTTTTTTCAAAAATTTGCCTGCGGCGCAGACAATTTAGCCAAAAGAGGGGGCAAAACAGTGCTTTGGGAGAGCTCGAAAAATCAATTTGGTCGACCTAAAAAAAAAAGGTCGTCAAAATTTTGGAAAATTTTTTGAAAATCCGCCCCCCCCCCTCGAGAAAATCCTAGATCCACCCCTGATCAAAAAACAATCGAAAAATGAAGGGATACTTAAAATTTGCGGAGACCAAAAAAAGTACGCTCGCAAGTTAACTTGTGTAATAAAATCATAAAAATTAAAATTCTTGATTTTCATTAATGCAACCGTGGCAAAAAGTTTTTTCCTTCATCTTTCTCTTCAGTCTCTTTGGTTTCATTCTTGAAAGAATGCGAAACTTAAACCTGCACTAAATGAGAGATAACATGTGTTTTGAGATTTCTTCTAATTTGTAAATTCCCTTAAACGATTGGAAGTTTCAGAACACTCGAGTGAGTCGATGACTGACTGGTTCACTATTGATGATAATTTGAAAGCTGATGATGGTATATATACAGACGTGTCAATATGAGGCATGGCAAGAGGAGAGTGTTGATGAAGAAGGTGGGTCGTCTGTTCATGTGGATTGTGTATCTCAGCAGCATGAACTCACTCAATCTGCCCATGTATGCTCTCCTTGTCCTCCTCTCTCGAGTCACCTTCTCAACCTCCCATTGTGAGCTCGGAGTATATGCACTCAGGGACATGTCAGTCTCATTGCTGCCTGAACACAATTCAAGGCATTTCTCATTATAGATCTTTCCATTAGTTTTTCAAAATTGCTCGTGTAAATTGCTTGAGCATTTTTTTTTGCAGAATTATGATGAAATTGTTCAAAGGTTGGAAGTCAAGAATGATGTGTTCCTAAACTAACCCTCATTCGGATGGAAGACAAAGTAAGGCGTGGATAAACTATCGGGCATCCCCGTTGGTCCCGGGAGAAGTGACGTATACCAAGGTCCAAGACTAGAAAAGGATCATCATTTAGTAAGCAAGTGAGAAAAACATTTCGCGGTAAAAATATTTTTGAATTCTCGAAGAAAATCAATTGGGCCCGACAAAGGGGTTTGAAAATTAATATACAAATCTAACGAGTGCTCGCACTATAGTGTAAGCTAATCATTGTTCATTTGCTTCTTTACCCTATTTTCATTATCGGACACGTTCCTAGCAAACGCAAAATAGGAAAAACTAAAAAAAAACTGCCCAGCCCAATGTTTGAATTCTTTTGCTACCCAAAACTAAAGATGCATCAAAATGTCTGGGTAGGCTCGAGTGAGTAGCGTGCGGGGGTTGGGTTTGGCGTTCGAGGGCGGGTGACGAACCCCTTCCCTTCAGTTATGTTTGCCAAGGGTCTTCCTGCATTACTATTTTAGGACATCTTTTTTTGTTGACCAACCCTAAAGTTTTGATTTACTCACACAATTTAGGGGGTATACGCAAACCAAATTGTAGGGGTATGCGCGCCAGTGTTAACACAATTTAGGGTTCATGCGCATGCGTCAAAACCTTCCAGCATGACCTACGCTGTAATTTTTTGGTGTTTTTGGCAAAAAAAGGTTCGGAATCAGGCAGACAAAATTGGACAAAGTTTCCAAACATTGTTCAAAAAACCACTCCTCTCGAAAAAATCCACCACACGCCACTGGTTGGAATTCCGAGGACAGTTTTTTTTGAATAAAAACTTAACGACGTTGTTTGGTTCAGACATTTTGTGACGAGCAGGAAATGAATTTGAGAAGATTGGAAACTTTTGACACAAAGAAAATGTTTTTTTTTTGGCGCTCTTCCTTTCTCCTAGGTACCGACAAAGGCCCTACTTTGTCTTATAGTGAGCAAAGAAACCGCCAGCTAAGAATCGTAAAACGGAACTAACTAACATGGTGGCAGGGATTGAATATTTTTCCGTCATTTACCTAAGCTAGGGTTCAAAAATGAACCCAAATGACAACCAACTAACTCAATATGACACTTCTGAGAGTCGAACGGGAAATCGGTGACATCAAACACACAGCGAGTGGTCTCCGTCAGAGCGTAGGGAAACACGACCAGAGGGTAACTCCGGATGCAGCGACCAGACTGATTTGATGTGTTATCATACTCTTCGCAGTAAAGTGTAATCACAGGTCTGCTCCACGACTCGAAGCTCTCGGCGCTTGGATAAATTATTGAATCTTAATTTAGAAAGGTTGAATAATAGCGATTTTCAACTTATCGAGCCAAAAACTTAAAAATTTCAGTTTGATACTCGTACCTGTTAAGTATAACCAAATCTGGTTTCCACATTGTTTTTGGGTCAGGTGTCACCTGAGATACTTGATGTCCTAGATATTTGACCCAGGTAGCATGATCCAGGTTCTGTAAAGAGTAGCTCTGGTAGATCCAAAGCTTAGTAGTTATCGTCTCCGAAACCTCGTTCTGTACAAAATGAAGATGCTTTTTTGAACATTAATCTTAAGAAAACAAACCGTTCACATTCAAAATAGGGAGAGGAAACGATGGGCAATGGTAGAAATAATGAGGAAATGTCGGGTATCTCAAAATAAGCTGAGGAAACTGAGGAAGAGTATATTTTTACTCTTTCACACACGTTTTTCCACGAATAGGCATGAATGAAAAATGAAGTTTTAGAACGCATAAATGAGAAAAGAAATCATTTGCATAGTTTCGCGCACTTTTCCGGGCTCTTTCACAATTTCCCGGGCTCTTTCACATGTGACATTCGACCAGAATGGTGTCAAAACGCATGGCAACATCGAAATTTTTTTGGTAACAGCCGAGTGAGAAAATAGGCAGTTTCGATGAATTAACAGTGTTAATCATGCAATTTAAGGACTTGGGAGAGGTCAATGGAATAATTTTTTAAAATTCGTTTGAAAGAAAGACACGTAGCAGCCTTGAAATTTCATGAACACTGAAAACCGCAAAAATCAGAACAGACCGATTTTCGTTAAAAAAAACAACAACATTGATTCTCGACAGTGAAGAAAAAATGTTCACATTATTATGAAATTACGATCGAGACTATCCGAAATGTAACGAATATAACTATACAATCGTTACCGAGCAATTGCTGAGATTTCGGAGGGGTATCGGGAGGATTTATATACCCTTCCAGAAGGACGACAAGACCGCTCTTCGTTCGAGAAACTCTTGATCGACTGTGAGGAAAAGATGCGTCTGACGGGAAAACCGCCCAGGACAAAGAGCCCCGAACAAATAGAGAAAAAGGAAGTCTTCGCATGCAGGTAAGACGGCTGCACCACAATATGAAGATCAAAAGGAGGTCTCACCCAACATGAAAGGCGAGTGCACTGTGAGTCGAATGCATCGTTCAAGTGTACACGATGCTTTGGAACGTTTAACAGAAAGACACAACTGACAAAAACTACAGCAAAGCCTGTGAAACTGAGGTGGAAACACAACCCCGAGTCTAGCCCCGAGAGTCATGCCATATCTGCGGAGTAAAACAGACCAAGACCAACATGGCCAGACACCTTCGCAGGGTGCATGGGGTTGTGAAGCAAGGAGGAACCCCTCCATGAAGGTTCTGCTTTACCCAACATGTTTTTTCCTTTTCCAAGTCTTTTTTCTAATTTGAAACGCCGAAGAAGTAATGTAAGTATCCAATGGAAGATGACCTCATTACTTTTTCAGGTCGTGAATGAAAATGAGTGGAAAGGGCAGGAGCGATTGAGGTGGCAGGAAGAGGAGGCATGAAGAGGAGTTATCATCCAAGGAAGGTGTGAATAAAGTACCAGCGAGAAGAGGGGACAAACCGTACCGTTAGGAGATCACCACGGAAACCACAGACCATCTCGAATTCGCTGTTCTGGGCGATTCCATTGTAAATGGGATCTTTATCAAGAACGCGAAGGTTGTGACTTGTCCCGGTGCGCATATTCACCAACTGTCTGAGAGGAAGATAATGGACGATTTTATTCGCCTAGGAAATAAGAAAATCGCGATTTTCGGCGGGACAAACAACCTTGCGTGGAGAGACGGCTCAACAAATCAGCCAGAGGAGCTCAGTGATCAAATGAAGGATTCAGTGGAAATGTATAAGAAGGAAGGCTTTCAAGTAGTTTTAATGGAAGTTCCATGGAGGAGGCACTGCGAAGAACAAATCAAGAAGATCAACAGGCAATACGAAAATATAGCAAATAAGGCGAATTGTGAGTTCCACAGATACCGACGGTTCTCGAAAGCCCATATAGACAAGAACGATGGGGTACACCCAGCTAAGGACTACATCTAAGTCCTGGCCAAGGAATTCTATCAGGCTTTCCAGAGGTTGTCCACTGATAATTCCAATGGAGGACACACTAGTGGGGCCTCGGGGACCTAACTAGTTCCGCAGAAGGCTCTCGAACGAGACGTAACGGAGAGAGAGAGATTCGAGAATCTGGAAGGGTCTCGGGAAGAAACTAAAACTGTAATTTTCAACAAATTTTGTCTTCCGGATATGTCCTGAATTGAATCATTTTAACATCAAAATTCGTTTTCAGGTAATGAGAAGCTAGGCGTTGAGAGAAGAGGTTGATCTATCTCCGATGAATATGATGATTTTTTTCTACTGAACAAAAACAATCGTAATATGATAAATAAGTAGTAGCCCTGTTTTTAGGAATGACCACGTGTTCTGAGATCCAGCCATGAGCTCACTATTTTGCATGTAACTAATTTAATCTGCGCGTTCTGGCCGATAGCCCAAAACAGTAATGAATTTGTCGACCCGATGTTAAGGGAACACACATAGAAATGGCTTTGATAGAGACGGTTAAAAGCATATGAAGCTGTGTTTAGACGCTAGCCAGTCGTTTCATAACATAGCTTTATTTTGCGTCGGTATGTACTTCCGGGCGAATGTTACAACAGTTTTCCAGCATCTTTCCCTCAGAAAGAGCAAAAACTTAATCTTCAACAGTTAGAACATATTTGAAGATGGCCTCGGGCAAAGAGCCGTCCCCGGAGACTTCGTGCCCTCAGGCCGTGCTCTTTTCCCCTCGGGCATCTTTCAACTATGTTCTAACTACTACAAAGTGTGTAATTTAAACAATACTTTTTGATCGAGACTTAGACTCCAAATACAAAAGTCAGCAAAGTCACATTCAATAGTCAGACTGAACTACAGATAACGCTAACTTGAGCGCAGATGACGCGGGAAATATGATAGATGATTCTAAGAGGACAAAAACTTATTTGAATATTTCAGCTACGAGCTTAGAGCCGCAGATGATTGCTAAAATGAAAAATTATTATCTCTGAAATTACATCAAACCGTTGAATGGAGTTTCGCGTGAACAGTTTTTTCTATTTTTTTTTTCTTAAATGATTTTTGAAAACTCTGTTTGTGCTAACTTACGACAACACTAAATGATTTTTTTTATTGTGCAAAAGCTCAAAGAATCATCTGATTTTTCCTGTAAGCCTGGTTCGAGATTGTGGTTTTATGTTCTGACGATTTGGATCATAACTCAGCAGTTCAGACCGCTGGAACCAGAATGTTGTATATTCAGACCGTGAGAACAGATAAGGCCTAGACTGTGCGGACTGAGTGAACTCGGTTTCAGACCGTGTGAGCCAACGAAGTTTGGTTTGAGACCGTGTGGACCGAAGAAAGCCGGATTTAGACCGGGTGGACTGAAGGAGTTGGGTTTCAGACAGTGCGGACGGACAAAATCCAAATTCAGACCGTCTGGACTGAAAAATAGGAATTCAGACTGTGTGGACAAAATAGTCCGAAAACCGGCTTCATGCCCTGTGGCCGGAGAAACCCGATTCGAGACTGGCTGGACCGAAAAAAAATGGTTTCTACCGTGTAGATGGATGAAACCTAGAGTCAGACCGTGTGGACCAAAAAAAAAACAGTTTCAGACCGGATCGAACGAACTAATCCGGGTTCAGACCACATGCCGGTTTCAAATGAAGTGAACCGTAGAAATCTAGATTCAGACCGTCTTGACCAACAAAAAGGTAAATTCATACCATTTCAGATCGCGTGGACCAAAAAAAAGACGGATTCAGAACAGGTGGACTGAATGAATCCGGTTTCAGATCGTGTGAATCAACAAAATTCGGTTTCAGACCAATTGGACGAAATAAAGACAGATTCAGACCAATTTGACAGAAGGAATCCAATTTTAGACCGTGTGGATCGAAAACATCCGGAATCAGACCGAATGGACCAGAGAAAGCCGGAAGGATAGCGGGTGGACTTAAAAAAGCCCGATTTGGAGCAGGTGGACTGAGTGCATCCAATTTCGGACAGTGTGAACCAAAAAATTTCGGTTTCAGACCATGTGGACCAAATAAGGACAGATTCAGATCAAGTTTACCCAAGAAATCCGGTTTCAGACCGTGAAGAACCGAAAAAATCCGAATTCAGACTGAATGCCTCGGAGAAAGCCGGAGTGACAGCCGGTGGACCGAAAAAAAATGGATTTAGACCGGGTGGATTGAGTGAATCTAATTTCAGACCGTGTGAACATGCGAATTTCGATTTCAGAACATTTGGACCAAATATAGGTAGCTTTAGACCTAGTTGAACAAAAAAAGTACGGTTTTAGATCGTTTGGACCGAAAATGAATCCCGTTTCAGAACGTGTGAATCAAAAAAAATCGATTTCAGACCATATGGACCAAATATAGACAGATTCAGACCAAGTTGACCGAAGGAACCCAATTTCAGACCATGTGGACCGAAAACATCCGCAATCAGACCGAATGGACCAGAGACAGTCAAAAGGGTAGCGGTTGGACCTAAAAAATCTCAATTTAGAGCAGTTGGACTGAGTGAGTCCGGTTTCAGAACGTGTGAATCAATCAAATTCAGCTTCAGACGATTTGGACCAAATAAAGACAGATGCAGACCAAGTTGACCCAAGGAATCCGATTTTAGACCAAGTGGACCAAAAAAAATCCGTTTTCAGACTGAGTGGACCAGGGAAAGCCGGAGTGATAGCGGATGGATACAAAAAATCCGGTTTTAGACCAAGTGGACTGAGTGAACCCGGTTTTACAACTTGTGACTCAACAAAAATTAATTTCAGACCATGTGGACTGAAAAAAGATAGATTCAGATCAAAATTACCCAAGAAATCCAGTTTTGAACCGTGTGGACCGACGAAATCCGGATTCAGGCTGAGTGCATCGGAGAAAGTCGGAATGATAGCAGATGGAGGAAAGAAATTCGGAAGAAATTTGAACCTGGTGGACTGAGTGAATCTAATTTCAGACCGTGTGAACATGTGGACCAAATAAAGGCCGGTTCAGAACTAGTTTGGCAAAATAATACGGTTTCAGACTGTGTGGACCGAAA